TCAGGGGAAGTTCAGGTTGGACATTAGGAAAAGGTTCTTCACCAAGAGGGTCGATCCCTGGAACAGGCTCCCCAGGGAAGTGGTCACGGCACCAAGCCTGTCAGAGTTCGAGGAGCATCTGGATGACGCTTTTAGTCATATGGTTTATGGAGGAGCAGGGAGTTGGACTTGATGATCCTTATAGGTTACTTCCAACTTGAGATATTCTACGATTCTATGTATTAGACTACATGAACTGAGCAGATGCCTGTATTCACTAGTCCTTCCAATCAGATGGCACACAGGCCACCTCGTTACAGAGGTGACACTGAATTTCCCTTGCCCTACCAAGTGGGATAAAATTTAGCGCTTAATAGGTCAGCGTCCTCTTGTGTTCAGCACCAAGATGCCAAAGGCTGAAACCAACAGAGAAACCAAATGGGAACAGGGCATGAGCAAGACCTTGAAACACAGAGAAGCTGGGGGGGGGAGGGAGACAGCACTAGTCAGTGGACGAACCAGGTCATGACGTCTGGAACTGGAAAGCAGATTAAAGAAAGGTAATTAAGAAATAGCTCCAGAGAGGTCTGTAACTATTTGCTAATATCAGTCAAGAAAAGTTTCTTGGAATCAGACTTTTGCTGAGCACTGTAGAGAAATTCTCACCCAATTATGGCTGAAATTTTTTAGTCTGGTTGGAGGCTGATGCCATTATACTTTCTGTGAGAGAACAGTTGTACGCTGCTTTCCCCAGCTAATAACTTATGAACGTAGTGACTCATTTAACTCGCAGACAGTAATTTCCTAAAAGCTTCTTGAAAATACAGCCCCAAATTAAAGCTGACCTCATGCTGCAGCTCTGAGGCAACGTCAACTGTCTGGGCATGAAATACAGTGAACCAAACTCTGGACTTTCTGCTACTCATCAGCGTGCAATGAACTCTGCTGCATTAACAACCCCATGCAGTGCTACAGGCTTGGGGAAGAGTGGCTGGAAAGCTGCCTGTCGGAAAAGGACCTGGGGGTGCTAGTCGACAGCCAGCTGAACATGAGCCGGCAGTGTGCCCAGGTGGCCAAGAAGGCCAATGGCATCCTGGCCTGTATCAGAAATAGTGTGGCCAGCAGGAGTAGGGAAGCGATCGTGCCCCTGTACTCGGCCCTGGTGAGGCCGCACCTCGAATGCTGTGTTCAGTTTTGGGCCCCTCACTACAAGAAGGACGTTGAGGTGCTGGAGCGTGTCCAGAGAAGGGCAACGAGGCTGGTGAGGGGT